GACAGCACACAGTCTCACAGGGTGACATACTCCTTTATTAAAATAAACAGCCAGCATAGTTAGTGTCAGTAGCTCAGGGATGAAATTCTTTGTTTACACTGTTAAGTGCTCATTTTAATGAAGGATTATGTCATCCAGTACAACAGAAGGGCTCTTTAATGGTTTTTAATCGTCTTTGGACAACAGTGGCTAATTATGTGCAATCTTACAGTGCTAATGGGGCATTTGTTACAGCATTATAACAGTAATAGTATAAAAAAAGACATAGTTGGGTATTGTGTTTCTCTTTTAACAAGTCCCACTATAAATAACCATGTAAAGACAAATATGCTACACTGAATAATTATTGTTCTGTGACATGTTCTTAAGCAGTGGGGTGAAGAAATAGTTAAAATTATGTAAAGTAATATCAACTAGCTGAAAAATGGTGAATCTATGATAGAGATGCTCATTTTAAAAAAAATGTAACTAGACAGACGACATTTCTCGCATCACTGAATAGTCCAATCTCAGTGTATGTGCAGGGGAGGCTTTGAGTTTTCACATTACACATGTTTGTGTTTCCCATTAGATCACACTAGGCTGTCAAAGTTGTCAACATGCCAAACCGAAGATTAAAATTAAGCCCTGCAGTTTCCCTCCTTGAGCAGATGAAACCATCGTCAAACTGAATTCGTGTTCAATGATATGCCAAATTTGGATCAAGCATCAGAGGAGGGGGAAAAAATCCCCAAAACTCCATATACACTTTTTCATTGACGCTATACTTTTAATCGTTCAGGTCAGAACCCGTGAAACAGCAACTGCAAGCGACACCAGCTGCAAACCGTGTCAATGTTTTTGTATTCTAATGCAAGCAAATCTCAGCAGCGTGCTCTGTGCTCACGTCCCCACATACTTTTGGCCATATGGTATTTACAACATGCACAGATGTTGTGCTGCAGTTGCATGTAAATCACCCTAGTCCAGTGGAAATTTTGATGAGACGTTAAATTTGTTAGCTACAGATAAGGCTGTCATCACAAAAGAGATGATCTATTCAAAAGACGTGAAAGATTCAACAGTGCACAGGATGAAGAACAAAAACACTTCCTCCCCCACACATGAATACAGAGTCTCTCATCTTGTTTTACATGCACACACCTCCCTGTACTTACTCTCTCAGAAACGTGGACTGATTATCTCTCTCACACAGCCAATGTTTCTTTCATACCCTTTTACACACAACTGATGCTCTCAAACACAGCAGGAAAAAAAGCACGTTTGAGCCCTTCATCTGTTGCTAAACGTGACTGCTTCCACGCCGTCGTCATATCAGTCACTGCAGATGTTTGATTGATGAGTGGATCAGTGCGGGCTGATGCCGTTGTGCATGTGTGTGAGCAGTATGTCGATTTGTGAACGACTCCAGTATCTTGGCTGCCGAGCACCCCGAGGTGTCAGGCTGATCAGCTGGCAGGGGAATGCCGTGATTGAATGTCCGGGAGCACGCGGCTGAATGTGAGGACACGGAGAGAGAACATTATCGATTTCTGCAAAAATCGCTCTCTCTTTGACCATAAATATTATGGCCCTTTTGGTGCTTGCTTCTGTGAGTGTGTGTGTGAGTGCATACAAGTGCTCTGAATAAAAGGATAATAGTCCTTTCGACTACGGAGTCAGCACTGAACCTTTTTTACTGTCTCTATGATGTCACAACAAATCACATAGCACCTCTCGAGCGTGTTTATTATAATAAAGGCAATCCTACGTCTATGGCTTTGACTCAAAATCCCTGAAATGCGTCGCTGAACGATTGTTTCCAACATTAATTTTGCTTTTGAGTTCAAACAGCTTTCAAACAACGTACCTGAACCACTCAGAAAGCCAGCGACATTCAGAGCAAATTTCTGTTTATTAAGAGATTACATTAACTAACAGATCTCGCCGTTTCTTTTTTTCCAGAAGATACAGCCTTTGAGGCAGGCGTGCGGGTACAAATCCACAGCCAGGCGGAGCCTCCATTCATTCACGAACTGGGCTTTGGTGTGGCGCCTGGCTTCCAGACGTTTGTAGCAACACAGGAGCAGAGGGTAGGTGTCTCTCACTCATATACAGTTAATGGCTTTTTATAAATCTTCTCTCTTCTTTGTGCTCTTTTTTACTCCTTTTTCACATATAAAGCATATCTCACAGTGATAAATGGGACAAAAAAATATGTGATAAATAACCTGCCATAACAGGACCGTGAGATTTTCTGCAGGCGTGTGAGTGGATTGGTGTGGAAGCCCATGTGGGTCCCTGTAGTCTGAACTTTCAATTGGCCTCTGTTTTCTCTTGATGATTGTTGCCAGACAAATGATGAACTTCCCTCCATTTACTGGCTTTGACCTTTCTGGAAGAGAGGATCTTCACTCAGTCTCAGCCTTATTCAATCACACTGAAGCTTTCTCACATCACACATGGACGGTTTTAAAGGCTGCAAGACTCACAGGCATACAGCAGTTGTATATAATGTAAATAGCATTTTCAGTGTCACCATTCTCTTCTTCATAAAGTTGGGTTTTTTTCTGTTTTCTTGAGGCCTGAGTTGATAAAACTCCACAAAAGGTGTTTCTGCACTGCCAGAGTGAATATATTTCAATTTTAGCTCCTGTGAGCCTTGTCAGTTTACTGAGATTATTAGTTCTGTCTTTCACATTTACCTTTTGTGGCTCTATGTCTTATTTCGTTTTCTTTCTGCCTACCTCCTTCTCCTTTCCTCTCTCACAGTGAGGCTTTTAGAAATCTATTGTCTGGCTCAATAGCAGGAGTTGACTAGATTGCCCTTTTTTGAGCTGGCAGATTTCTGTCAAGATAAATTCATTGCCATCTCATTTTTAGAATGGCCTGTGCATCTGGCACGAGAAATGAAATATCTTTTGAAAATTGCTCCTGTCAGTTAGTGCAGTTAAAGTTTAAGGTTTACAGCACATGCAAAAACAGATTTTATTTTGGCCAATCAAGGCCATTGGATACTAGATAAACCATATAATGAACAAAAAAAAAAAACCCACTGGACCAGAAAATCAAGCCAACAAAAGGAAATTGGCTTTAAATATTCACAAAACTGAGTCAAAATGATGGTTAACCAAATCAAGTTACACTTAAATTTGAAACTTTTATTCAAAGTAGCTGCTGAAAGTCATAATTGGTTCCCTTAGTGCTTAAATAGCTGGTAAAATTCAGACCTACAATCCTAATTTCAAGAAGACTGATTCAAAATCTAAATAAAGTTATAATGCAGTGATTTAGGAATGTCACAAACCCATGTTCTCTTCACGAACAAAAGAGAAAACATATCAATTATTTAAATTAACACATTGCACTATTTTATGCTAAATATATTGAGTTTGATGGCAACAACACATCACGACAAAGTCAGGACAACAAATGACTGGAAAGGCAAGTGGAAAATGAAACAGCTGGAGGAACATTTTCTAAGCCGTTAGGTTAATTGGCAAGAGGCTGATATAAAAAGAACATCTTTGAAAGGCAGATTTTCTCAGAAGTAAAGATGAACAGACCAGTTTCCAACAAAATATTGTTTATAAATCAGAGAATAGTTTCAGAATAATGTTCTTCAGTGACAAATTGTGAAAACTTTGAATATCTCATTATCTAATCGTCACAATGTTCTGTGAATCTGGAGAAATCTCTGTGTGAGGGATCTGCTAAATAATCCGTATTGTTATCTTTGGGGCCTCAAGCAGCTCTACAGTAAAAACAGAAATGCTTCTGTCATGGAAATCCCTGTAAGGGCTTAGGAACACTTCTGGAAATCAGTGTTGGATTTACTGCCAAGAAGCATTGTTACAACAAAGAAATAATCGACTAAACATAATTAACCTAACTTTTTGTTCCAAGTTTATCTGCTGCTTCTCTATTAGCAGCCACTTCTCACCCCCAACTTATCACATAG